ACTCGGGATACGCCCAGAGTCACGGAATGGATTAAGTTCGTATCCCGAGGTACCACTGTATATTATCCTCATTATGTCCCATGCAAAAATCTAGACTTTACGCTTTGGAGACCATATTAAATCTACTGCCATCAGTAGCCATACTCAGCTTGAAGACAATGGTTTCTTATCCCCTGCGTCCCCCCAGCCCCATTACAGAAGATTCCTTTCCAGCAGTTCCTGTGATAGTAACAATTTGTCATCCACTATGCCATTTTTATTGATAGCAAAATCCTTTTCTCATCCTTCTGCAGATTGGAATCCATCATCCTTGCTGATAGTCAACCCTCTAGTTTGTTTTGAAGGGTTCATAAGTTCTTTCTTCCCTGAGACTCAAATCCAGTTGATGACTGTGAGTTGGATTTGATGCCAGTGGATTCACAGACTTCTTCAATTCTTTTGCTTAGTGTCTGGCAAAGATTCTACAGAGACCTCTTATAATCTCTCACTGTTGAGTTGATATGCCCAACTATTCCTGTGGCAGACCCAGTATTCCAACTGGCCACATCCAATTCTGCCTCTCCAGTTTACATTCCAACCCTGCTTACTCTCCTACAGTTGATGAAGGAATCTTCACAAAAATATTTTTTCCCTCCAGTTTCAGAATGCTTGGAAATCCTGTATTGGGTTTATGGGTAGACCATTGAATTCCCATATAGCCATTCTGCTCCAAATGTTATCACTGTGAACTTGTTTGACCAAAGCAATGGTGGGTGGCAGAAGTCAATATCTGTGGGCCTGTCGGGTAATGGTATACAGAAGATTGGGACTTGGTTTGTAAGAGGAGCAAATGGTAAAAAGCATGTATTAACAAATGTTCTGGGCTCTGGAACTAGCCTCCAGCCCCCCAACAGCTTTGGAGTCTGTGCAGATACGGTGTTCTGCTTTCATCTCTTGTTATGATGAACCTGCCCCATCATCAGTAAGTATAGCTTTGTAGTCATGCATATGTGTGACATACAGTGATCACAATGAAGGACAGGCTGTTTATATGTAATTGTAATTTATTGGGTAATCACCTATGCATTCACCCAACTCTGGTGTCTTCATGTGGATCAAGGCTCAGGATACTTTTTCTGTAAAGGATCAGATCCCACCCTTCCTCTGCCTCCACAGGTGTGGCTGGTAGGTCTACAGACCAAGGAGCATGGCAGATATTGGAGAGTCCCAGTCCACCAGCAAGGAGGCCACTGATAGGCTGCTGCCAGGACACCCCCCCCTCGCGCCCCTCCTGGATCTTGGTTGCGACTCGGGCCTGGTAATCTGCCACCCACCTGCCTATCCATTCTTAGTTCATGAGCTGTACAAAAACAGCTGATGGGCCAGATTTGGCCTGCAGGATGTAGTTTGCTGACTCCTGATGTAGATACATATCAGCTGTATTCTGAGACATTGCTAGTAATTAAAAAAATTAAGAAAATGCAGTATTAGTGCCTGAGAGCAAGCACAGCAGAGTAAATTTGAAGCTTCCTAACGAAATCAGTTGTAGAATATTTCAAAGATTGTTCTGCGCAGGTGCAGAGACTGATATATAAAGACAATCACTGAGAGGACAAAGTTACAGATAAGCAATCTATGTTTCTTTATAATCTCACATATTATAAAATCTGTAGTTTTCTCAAGAACTGAAATGAACAGAGAATATTTAAAACATCATGTTCTGTGGCCATAATTTCCGTATTGAAGTGGTATGGAATTATACTTTTTTTTGTCTTTCAATTTAATTTGGGAGAGGAAAAGAACAATTTATACTCTACATATTATATACTCTTATTAGCACATTAGTAAATATGCTTTTGAAATATTGAAGAGATATTCAGATTATTGTCTCGTTAGTCTCAATGATTGTGCAGTTAGTCTAGATAAAAAGCAGTTTGGAATTAGTTACATTTTGCCCATCTCTAATTTTACTTTTTAAAAATATATTTCCAGTCCAACATATAATCTTAAATGGGCTAACATTTATTACTAACTAAACATATAATAAAAATGTATAAAATGGAAATGTTTGTGGGAGATTTACTTTTGTAGGGCAGTGAGAATTTGTATAATTTAGCTTAGGATATACTAGTAAATGATAAATAATTGTAATACTTTTTTCCTCATTGGCATGATTTAATGTGTTTCTTAATCTGCTTTTTCTTAAACAGGTTTTGGTCCATGTTGACATTTTTGGCTCACATTATGATATACCTTATAATGGGAATTGTGATAGCTCAAAAAACGTTTCCAAACATAAATACTCGTGCTTTTTTTTACATTGTAACAGTCTACCTTTCACTGAATCTTGTAAGGTAAATACTTGCCTTTTTACTTTTTTTGGAATTGACTAACATTGCGTATCAGCTTATAAAACCCATCTACAGTAATTAATATTCTTAGGTTGCTGTGTTCTGTACATTTAACTGGAAGTAAGCCACAGTCAGAGTCGAACTTATATTTAACTGATATGATTGCACTATTAAAATTCTTAGTGGTACAGTAATTATCAAAAATCTTTGATCCATTCACTGTGGTTTATTTTAGCATGGAAGCCCTCAGTGTAAGTTACTCTGTTTGGCTGAATCTCTGGTAGCTCTGTCATCAAGTTTGTATATGTATAGTTTATTCTCACAATTCCTAATGAGTTGGATTGTAATCCAGTTATAGAAAAACTATTTCCCATTAAGCTTCTGCTATTGAATAAAGGAGTCACTTCCCTTCTTCTTCCCTGATGGTTGAAATGAATTATGCCACTATTTTAGGTGCTGCATATATCATACTCATCCATGGGGGAAAAATCGATAGCTGAATAATACATATATCAAGACATGTCAGAATGTCAAAAATGTGGAAGCTTTGGAGTTCTCCAGAAAGCTGAATTTTAAAAATATTAAACAGGATAGGGAAGAAGAAGAAAGAAAGTTTTTTTAAAAAAGGCCTGCAATTGAGGGTCATTATCTGTCTGGATGTTGTAAGCTGTATTAGAGCTAAGTAAATTACAGTATAACTCAAAACCAATCATAGTGATTTAATCAACATGAGAGTACTAAGATTTTCATAACACCTGCTATGTTTTGGAAAGATTGGTATATAGAGAGTATTTGAATAATACATTGGAGAGCCAGTGTAGTGTAATGGTTAAATTGTTAGACTTGGGGTGGAGAGACTCAGGTTCTTCCCATTCAGGTACATAAGTCTCTTAACTCTCCATTTATAGTAGAGTTCATTGCATGACTTTGAGCCAGTCACTCTTTCTCAGATTAATCAGCTTCATAGAATGATTGGTTGTTATAAGAGAAAACTCCCATGTATGTTGCCTTGGGCTCCTAGAGAAAAGATGGTGTTTATATGAAATAAACAATAACATGAGATCTTTTTGTTTAGTGTCAGAATTTTATGTTGATTGATAAATGCAGTCTTTTGCCTTGTAGATGATAAAGTTTAATTATTTGTTTAATATATGTATTTATAATTTTGATTATTATATAAAACTGCTAATATTTTAAATATATTTTTGCTTATTTTTACATTTTATTTATTTAGGGGTTTAGTTATTTTGGCATTGAGCCCTTTTTTGAGTCGACTTGGCTATGGATTTAATTGGCGTTGGGGAGCTATTATTGTTTGGAGTGGAATGAGAGGCACTTTTACTTTGAACATGGCTCTTCAATTTAGCCAGAAAGATAGTGAGACTCCAGCTGAGGCTAGCATTAAGACCCAGGTAAAAATAAATTAGTACCTTGAAAAGCAACATTTCTGATCAGTTTGTATTAGAAACTAAACCTATGGAAATCTTTTGAGCAAAATGTCTTCTGGATCCGCTTTTTGAAGCCATGAAGTGAAGCCACACCCAGCATGCTAGATATAGTAACGGAAATATATTTCAGTTTGACATGTAAAAGATATGAGGCCTAATTTATATTAAAAAATACAAAATTAGCATGCTAATTTCAGTCTGTAGAATGGCTTAATATTGCTACAGTGTCCCCTTTGAATGTGTGCATGATCTCATTTTCCAGAACTCAACAGTTGGATTCATTCCACACTATAACTATTTTGTCTAAAGGGATGGTAACATGATCAAAGGGATACCTATTATGATTACTTATTTACACAGACTTTTATGCTGCTCAGCCTACTGATTCTAGTGTTTTAATACCATATAATACCAAAAAAAAAATATTTTTTTTGGAAATTGTATTTTGCAGCTTGCTGTTTGGTTTGAATGAAAGAGTGGGTGTTGATGAGTAATAGAAGGCTTTTGGAGTTAGAAGGACATGACCTGAGATTTGGGTGGCATAGTTATTTGTGGTACGATAAAGTCAAGGTTAATGTGGATTAAAAATCATTATGTTAGACACGGCATATTGAGAATATGGAATAGATACAAACCCAGGTTGTGCCTGAAAACTCCTTTGTGGATCTCAGCACAAGAAGCATTTTATAGATGAAAAATACTGTAATAGGCAAACACAAATGGCTAACTTATTGCAAGATATAGAATTTTGTCAAGGGGAATGTGAAATAAAATCAAGAGAAGAACTGGTGGTGAGGGATAGGGTTCACGTTCTTGCTTTGAGGGCTTTTCCATCTTTCTTACATTAGTCCTAAGAGAAACATGTATGACCAAAATGATCTGATATTTACAAATTGATTCTTGCAGCAGTCAGTTGCATTTGGTTTTTTCCCCTCAATTTCCTTGTATATCCTGATATTTGTCCAAGAAATTAAGGTAATTCTATTATATTGAATATGGTTAAAATGGAAAATGTCCCATTACTCTTCCGTTCTTATTGCGTCTGCAGATGGCCACCCTGCAGCCCTGTTTTGGGTGACACGAGCCCTCCTGGGTAAGAATGGCTTGGAGAACCTTCTGCATGGATGTGCGGAGGAATTTTCCCAGCACCTGTCAGATAAAATCACCTGGATTTGTTCTCAGTTGGATGTTGGCTTGGCTGCAAGTCCAGTGGAGATGCCTATGGAGGAGTCTTACCCTGTTATCTGGGGACAGTTTGAACCTGTTGGACCTGAGAAAATGGACAGGATCCTTAGGGCTGTGAGCTCAGCCACCTGCTCTTTAGATCTATGCCCCTCCTGGCTGGTTAAAGTGGCCCAGAGGGTGTTGTGTGAGTGGGTCTAGCAAAGGTTAATGCTTCTTTGAGTGAGGGGGTTGTTCCCTCACCTATTAAGGAGGCTTTGGTTCACCCCCTCCTCGAGAGGTCATCACTAGACCCCACTATACTGGACAATTTTCATCCAGTATTTAACCTTCCCTTTTTGGGGAAGGTGATTGAGAAAGGGGTTGAACAACAGCTTCAGAGGACCTTGGATGAAATGGATTATCTGAATCCCTTTCATTTGGGATTCAGGCCTGGGTATGGGACAGAAACAGCATGGTTGCACTTTTGGATGATCTCTGGCGAGGGTGGGATAGAGGTTGTGCATCCATCCTTGCCCTACTTGACCTCTCTGCAGCCTTTGATACCATCAACCATGGTATCCTTCTGGATCATCTCAGAAGATTGGGGGTGGGCAGCACTGTGTTGTGCTGGTTCACCTCCTTCCTTCGGGGCCAATTCCAGTGGGTAGTGGTTGGGGAAGAGAGATCCTGCCCTCGCCCTTGTTATGTGGGGTGCTGCAGGGTTTGGTACTCTCCCCCCTCCTATTTAACATCTACATGAGGCTGCTGGGTGAGCTCATCCATCGCCATAGGGTGAGGTATTGTCAGGCCCAGCCCAAGAACAACAGTGAAACAGTCCAGCTGAGTAAAGTTCCTTTATTTGCTTACACCTTATAGATAGAATCTTACCAGACTAAATCTATACTATTGCAACTAGTGGATATACCCTGGGAGATTCTAGGGAGTGGCTATTGTGAACCTGTTTCACTCCCCCCTCCGCGCACTGTGTTGTCTTCTGTCTCCTTTCCCCTCCTGGAATTCACCCCCTCCTTCCTGATAGCCTTGGTCTCTCACAGGTATCATCAGTGTGCTGATGATACCCAATTATACATCTCTGCCCCTGGAGAATTAAATGATGCTGTGAATGTCTTATCCCAGTGCCTGGAGGCTGTGAGGGTCTGGATGGGGAAAAGCAGGCTTCAACTGAACCCTGGCAAGGCTGAGTGGCTTTGGGTTTTGGGGCCTTCTGATTCTAAGGCTATACCATCTTTGGTAGTGGATGGGATCACACTACCCCAGACAGACCCTGTGCACAGACTGGGGGGTCCTCCTGGACTCACAACTCCTGCTCGAAGAACAGGTGGCAGTCATGGCTAGGAGGGCCTTTTCACAACTTCATGTTGTATGCCAGTTGCACCTGTTCCAAGAAAGGGGGCCTCTACTCACTGTCACACATGCCCTTGTCACTTCCCATTTGGATTTCTGTAATGCGGTCTACCTGGGGCTGCCCTTGAAGGGTATCCGGAAGCTTCAGCTGATGCAGAATGCAGTGGTGCAGGCAGTTATGTGTGCACCTACAGCGGTACATGTTACACCTGTAAGGTTTGCCCCGTTCGACAGAGAAACTCCCGTGACACGTGTGGTTCACAAAAGA